TTGTTCTCACCTCAGGTCTCCACGTCTCAAAGGACAGTGAGAACTTTTCATAATACTCTAGATGTGATTGAACCAGTGCTCAATACAAAGAACTTGACCTGTTGTGTCCAGTGACATTTCCAAAAATGTTTGTTACTTCCTCCCCCATCACCCAAGATCCTTTCCCTTATATATTTCCACTTCTTCCCGCTCAGCCTAGTGATGCTTAAGAAAGCCAGGAAAACACATTAGTGATATAAAATACAGCAGTCTGTATGTGTGCATATGTATCTATGTTCACACAAACAATGAATGACATTTAAATGAGAATGGAATAGAGCCTTTGATGGGGAGATAGCAGGTTTGGGACATCTGCAGACAGTATTTGTTAGTATATTGTGTCTTAATCATCCCGCAAAACACCACAGGCTAATTATTGCATGCTTCATGGTGCTTCTCATTTATACTGCACTGCACCTTTTAATACAAGGGTGGGACTTTTTGGCTCATACTTGATGTTTGGCTCCTTTTATGTTTTAATCATCTTGCAAACTGACTGGGTTACAGTTTAATGTGATATCCTTCCCATTAGCCTGGAAGAGAGACTGTTGAGAATGGGGTCAGAAGCAAGTCCATGTATTATTCACATGTCGCGTTTTGTAACTGCCTTGCCCATTCAAAGCATCTTTACAGCTCAGCCCTGGGTTTAATTAGCTGAGGTTAGAATTACACCATGTCTAAAATTACTTTGATGTAAAATCATTAGCTGTTTCTTTTTCCAATTGCCACTTTACATCCATGTTAAATGGGGTGAGCTTGTTTTTCCACCTGCTGGAGGACTTGATCCTTAATGTTGGATCACATGTTGACAAATAATTTTGGTTAATGGTGCCATGTCCACTGAATGCATTTGAGAATGTGAATAGAAATAGATGGTGGAAGCAAAGGGGGACAGTCTGTACCAAGCTAGCTCAGCGTCTGCATGCTAATGTGGACCAAATCCAGAGTAACTTTAAATTGAATCATCTTCCATGGAAAAATCGCCAGTTCCACTCTGAATTTCTGAAGCACACTAAACCACTGGGTGAGTTTTGCTTTAAGCTGATTTGATTTAAATTGCTTTAAGGAAAAAATAAACATAATTATCCTTGTAATTCTTATAATTTTTCCTGGGCAATGAGAGTAATAAAGTACAATTTTGAATTTTTGAACTAATTTTCCCATGTCTTTTATTCATATAAAAATCCAAGATTTGTGAATTTGAATAAGGTGTTGGTTTTTCCAGTAGTGTGAATCCCCTCATCCTTATCTGCCCAGAATCACCAGAATGACATCACATCTTAAAGGGTTTGTATTATGGGGACAAGTTATGTAGATTAGGTTTGTGTTTTGTGTTAAATTTGGAAAGTGATCTAATCCAATCTAATTGAAATGTCTTAAACGCAGTGCAAAAACAACAATGTTGGGTGATTGTAAACAAAGTTTTGTAGGTGAAAGGATAGGCTGATACAGCAGTTAGTGAATAATGTGGGATCTTGGGCTTTTGAACAAAAGGCCCAAACTGAAAAGTCAGGAAATCATACTAAACCTTCATGTTAGAGCAGTTCAGCTACAGCTGAATCGTTTATGTAATTCTGGGCACTGCTCTGTGGGAAGGATCAAGAGCTTCAGAGAGAGGACAGAAGGGTTTTACTAGAGCCCAGAACATTGTCATTTCTACCATTCTGCAAAAATTATGTTAGTGCATGTGTGAAGTTTGTGCATGTATGCGCTGAACATTGTTATCAAGAATGTGTCACCACTTATTCTGCACATGTCCTTGATGACATTATCGTGCCTAGGAATGCCATTGTGAATTGTAACTGTGTCCTAAAGTCACAGCAAAAAATAAGATTTTCATTTATGTGTCACCTTTCATCACCCTGGGACTTAGCAAAATGCTTTACAATCAGTGAAGTACTTTTGACATGTGGTCTCTATTATAATGTAGGAAGATCCCACAAACAATGATATAATAATGACTAGTGGGATAAATACTGGATATGACACTAATGAGAACTCTGTTGCTGTTCTTTGAAATATTGCCATTTGGCGCTTGCATCCACCTGAGGAGATCCATTAATCATAACGTGGTATGATTGACAGATCAACAGATTGACGTTTTGAACTGGAAAAACAGGTATACAATTGATTAACAATGGAACAAAAATGTAGTTTTTCAATTTTCTGTTCTGAAGCTACGGCTCTTACTGGGATATTTTAATCTCTGAAACCATTCATCATGTGTTTGTCTAGACTGAAAGTCTTGAAGACTCTTCATTTGTGTAGTTCATCATGACTGAACCTGACCCCACTTACCATTGAGACACGGGGTACCATACTCCACTGAGAGTTACTGTACAGCAGTGAAAAGCGGGGACGTTGCCCCTCTTAACTCCCAGCCCAGTTGAAGCCAATACTGTGGCTGATTACCACTTCTTTGCCTAACTTTGCATAGAAAAGGTATCAACATCACATTAAGGGAATTCTAGTAATTACAGAGATTTATGAAAATGTTGTCCAAATGATGGCTGAAGATTCAGAGGCACTTTATTGCTGTATGTTTCTTAATAAGTTTGAAAGAATACCTAATGATTGTATCTTGTCTTTTATCAAGCCTGTAAACTTATTCATTAAATCACCTTTCTACAGCAGGAGCTAAAGGAGACCTCATTGCAATTTGAAGAACTGTGGGAGTAATTAATAAAATGATGAAGGCAATCATTCTTGCTCTCCTCATATTAACAGGTAATGAAAGATAGACTTACATTGCAATCTCAGGACATCCCAGATAACTTTACAGCCGATTAAGTACTTTTGAAGTGTAGCCAGTAGTGTAGGAAATGCAACAACCGATTTAAGTGCAGCAAGCTCCTGCAAAACAGCCATATGATAATGACCAGGTAATCTATTTAATGTTGGTTGAAGATTAAATGTTGGTCCAGAACACCCTTCTTCAAAATAGTGTCATGAGGTATTTTATGTTTATCTGAGGGAGTAGACCGGCCTCAGTTTAACTTTCTGTTTTCTTCTATTCATGATATAAAGGTGTCATTCGCTAGGCCAGTATTGATAGCCTGCCCCTAACTGTTTTGGAAAAGGTGGTGGTGAGCTGCTTTCTTGAACTGCTTCAGTAATTTAAGGAGACACAGTGGTGGTTGTAAGGGAGTTCCAGGATTTTGACCCAATGACAATGAAAGAAAGGCAATATAGTTCTAAGTCAGGATAGTGCCTGACTGGTCATGCTATTCCCATACATCTGCTACCCCTGATTTTCTAAGTGGTAGACATTGTGGGCTTGGAAAGTACTATCAAAAGAATTTTGGTGAGTCAGTACAGTGCATCTTGTAGTTGTTACAATTGCTGTCACTGTCTGTTTGATCTGAAAGAAGTGAGTGTTCAAGGGGTAGATAATGCCAATCAAGTGGGCTACTTTGCATAGAGTTGAGCTTCTTGAGTGTTGTTAGAGCTGCACTAGTTGAGGAAAATGAAGAGTATCACACTTCTGACATGTGCCTTGTGGTGTACAGGTACGGGGAGACTGTAGATGAGTTACTCACCACAGTATTCCAAGCTCTGACCTGCTGTTGTAGCAATAGTATTTATGTGACTGGTCTAGTCCAGTTTCAGCTGAATGGTAACCCCTCGTTTGCTGATTGTAGCAGATTCAATGATGGTAATATCTTTGAATGTCATGGGCAGATGGTTAGATCCTTTTTTGTTGGGGATGGTCATGCCTGGCACTGTTGCCTGCCATTTATCAGCACAAGCCTGAATTTGTCCCAACCATGCTGCATTTGGACAAATATGTCTTCAATATCTGAGGAATTGCAGATGGTGCTGAACATTGTGCAGATGTCAGCAAATACCCCTACTTCTTGACAGAGGAAGGTCATTGATGAAGTAGCTGAAGGTGGTTGACCTTAGAACATCTTAATTAAAAGACAACATTTATGCCAATGTTGTGATTCCTCAGTACTGCCGTGGGAATGTCAGTCTAGGTTTTGTGCACAAGCCTCTTACAATCTTTGCATTTTAGTTGTCATCATAGGTGATTTTCAAGTTTTGCATGTAGGAACTGAAACTTCTGGTAAGATGCTGAGCCATATGGAGCAGCTTGAAGTCCTGATTTGTAACATTATATGGACTTGGTTCAGCCTCTGTACTTTGAACCAGAGTGAGGAGGATATTAGTTAGGGCTCCTTTCCCAGATTATTAATTGCAGGAAGTCACTGAATAGGCTACTAATTACGCACAGGGCTGGAATAACACATCTCATCCCAATAGTTGACCATCCTGCAGGGACCTGCTGTTGAGACTTCTACGTGGGAATCAAGCACTTCAGCGAGCTATCTGAAGGATGTCGCCCACCTTCACCAGAGGAAATTCTGAAGTTGATGGCGAAACGTTTACTCAAATGGAAAAGCCATTGTTACACGGAGACAAAAAGTGAACAGGAAGATGAGGCCATTGAGTCCCTGCATTACTGAATTAGATCATAACTGATCAGTATATTAACTCAGGCCATAGGTTCATCACCCTTAATAGCCTTGCCTAACAAAGATGTATCAATCTGAATTTTTAATTTTTCAATTAACGGGCAGCCATTACAGCTTTGTACTTCCTGGCTTCTCCTTGTTTTGGATTTCCTCCATTAAAGTAAATGGTTCCTCTCTAACTAACATACTGAATAATTTAACCATCTTAAAAACACCTTGGATGACCCTCAAAATCTTATCTACTGAAAGATAGCGGACATGGTAACTATTGAATATAGTTTAACTAATCTCTGTATAAGAGAGATAATAGCAGTCTAACTAAAATCATTAATTTGAATTTTCAGAAACTAATATGACTTTTACAGTGTGTTATTTTCCCTTCAGTGTCTTCAGGTACTGGGGAGCCTCACAATTCTGAAACCAAGTGGCAATCTATGAATCCTTTATTCAGGAAACTTAACAACACGAAAATGTCAACTAAAGAGGTAGAAGAAGAAACAGAGAAAAAGATCTCAAACAACAGCTCCCAATTATCTCCTGATGTAACTCGGTCTAGTTACCATAACTTAAGGAGATCTCTGCAGAGCCTTCTGAATTCTCCCCTTCATGCTAGAGTTTCCTCAGGAGATTCTGCTGTACTGGAGGCCATTCGATTGGCAATGAGTGGCGCAACTCAAGCAAACAAATGGGAATTTTACTACATGATCTGGAAAGCTGTGTTCAGCAGTCAGGTTGGAGCTACAAGTTCAGAGCTGCACTATCAACTGCCCCAGCTGCTTTTCTATCTTTTTCAGGCAACCAAGGACTCTGAACCTTTCTTTGCATTTGTTGAAAAGTTGATGCCATCAGGAGTCAACTGGAAAGTTGTACTAAGGTCCATACAGGATGAAGCCTGTTACGTTACTTCAGTTATGAGCAGAAGATCCTTCAGTGATTACATTGGAGTGCTTCTTGCAGTCAGTGTGAAGTCAAATAGGTCAACAATGGGGACTGACCCCTTCAGTATTCAAAATATACTGTTGAGTTTCGTTAAGAAGGTGCGTCAAGCCTTTTCCAATGAATTGAAGCCCATTTGGTATTTCTTTGGTCAGACTGTGTTCCCATTGTTTGAATCTTACATTGGTCGCATCACAAAACAAATCCTTTTGACGCTAACAAACTTTGTCTTGGAACAAATGCTATTGTTGAACAATATAATTAAACTGGATGTTAAAGGACAGTGTTCCCAAGGTAAGGAATCGTATCATTTCACATTTATTTTCCATAAATTCTTTCCTGTTGAGGATATGGACTTCCAGCAGTATTTTTCATTTGAGGCGAGAACAGTAAAAGATTCAGTTATTTCAAAATAGGCACCAATCAAACTCAGCCCAGTATCTGCTGTTAATATTGTCACACAAATATTTGTCCTTACCTGCAGTCACCTGCTTTCTGTGTCTCTTGCCCTCTCTGACTCTTGTCTGTCCTCTGATTCTCGCCTGCCCCTTCAGTCTAACTTTCTTTCCTACCGTGTCTTTCCTGTGCTTTCTCTTGCTGTCCTTTCTTTGCTGTCCATGTCTGCACCACCACCCCCCATCCCCGCACTCACCTGGTTGCTGCCACTCTCTTCTGCTCCAACACATACACTGCTCTCTTTCAAAAACTGTTGAGCACTCATCAGAGAGTGGTGACTACAAGTGAGTTTCAGTCATTTCAAGGCCTTAGAGAGCTGAATTTGATATTACCCGCCTACTGACAAACACGTGAAAGCAACAAACTCTGCTTCCAGAGCAGAGACAGATGGATTGATGTTCTCAAATAAAAACAATGTGCTAGAAATCTTAGTAGCATCAAGAGAAACAGTTAATACTTCATTTTAAATTGATACTTCGTGAGAAAAAGTCATTGAACTCGAAATGTTAACTCTGTTTCTCTCTCTACAGATACTGCCAGACCAGTATTTCCAGCACACTCTCTTTTTCAGACTTCCAGCACCTGCAGTATTTGTTTTTAGTTTGGACTAGGTCCTTCCCTTTCTGTTGACTGCACAGGACCTATTTACATTGAGGTTGTGTGGTCTCGCCCTGGCCTGTGGAGAATTTGATTCCCCAGTTGACAGCATTGCACAAGGCTCAAGTGTCCAAGCTTCACTTGTCATAAACAGGCCAGTTTTTGATAAACTGGATGTTGTCCAAAAAGGAAAAGTCCACAGGAAGGATCACGAGCCAAGAGAGGATCCTAATCATTTTGTTTGCCCAATGAATCAAGGGTCATAAAATTGGTATGATCCCTTTGAGGAATGTATTCCTAATGTTAGTTATTAGCTGTGACTCATTGAAGTCTTTGCCTCCACCCCTCTTTGTCAGGAAATTGTAGGTTCTCGTTCCACCTCAGTGTCTTGAGCACAGCTTAGACTGGCACTCCCACTGCAGTAGTGATGTATGCTGCACTGTCAGAGGTGCCACTTCTGGATTGAGACATCTGCCCATCAGAGCAGAGGATTTTTCCCCAGCATACTGGGCCAATATTTATTTTTCATATGACATCACTAAAATTACACATAGTCATTAACACAGTGGTGTTTGCAGGAGCTTCCTATATGCAAATTGACTGATTTAATGTAGAAAATACAGGAGAAATCACATTTCAAAAGTATTTATTGTAGTAAAATTGCTATAGTAAAAATAAAGCTGCTTACAGGCTTTTTTCAACCTGCCCATTTACCCTCAGAGCTGTACCTAGCAGCAGCATCCGGATAATCTATCCACTGTTAGGTCTCCTTGTTTTGCGTCATATAACACTACATCTGTTACTCCACCGTCTACTGCCTACTTGTTCAACTTCCTCACGTTCCTATGGTTACTTCTCAATCAATCCCTTCTTCCTATGCCTAAATGTTCTCTGTTTTTGGCCTTCATCTTTATTCCAATGTTACTGTGTCTAAGTGGAAGTCCCATTATAGTTTGATGCCTCATGTCTACATTTCATGTTCAGTTTTTTTTACTGTTAATGTTTATTTTTACAGGGAATCTGAAACAGCTCCTCATTTGGTGAGTTACTAAGCAGTTTGCATTAAATAGTTGAACTTTGTAGTATGAGTTTACAATTCATCTTTCATTGCCTGTTTATAAGTATAAGCAAATATAAGTATTGGCTCGAAGTGGTCAATATTGGCTCCTCTGATCTTTCCCTTCATGATATTAAATGGCCCTATATCGAATCTAAAAGTACATAATGACTTTTCACTGGTACCAAAACATTTCTTCTAAATAAAAACCGAAAGAACTTTGGATGCTATAAGTCAGGAACAAAAACGGAAGTTGCAGGAAAAGCTCAGCAGATCCGGCAGTATCTGTGAAGAAAATATCAGAGTTAACGTTTCGGGTCCAGTGACGCTTCCTCAGAACTGATGGTATCTTGGAAAACGGTTTATATGCAGAAAATAGGGAGGGCGACGGGGTAGGCAGTAAATGATAGTGTAGAGCCCGAAGAGAGAGAAGAACAGTTGGATAGACAAAGGAGTTGATAACGATTTGGCAAGGAGAGTGAATAGCTGTTAATGGGGACTGTTAGTGACTAACAGTAGGTAGAACTGGGAAGATTATAAAGCCTTTGAAAGATGTGATTCCTTCTTATTTCCTTCATAAACGGGGGACCTGTTTTAAAAGTGTGTCCTCTTGGTCTTGATTCTCATTGTACAGCCTGTCAAGTCCCCTTTCATGTTTTAATAACCTCCTCAACTCTTCCTTATAAGGCAACCCCTCCGTCTCTGAATCAGCCTTGGGAACCTTCTCTGAACTGATTCCAATGTTAGTCTATCCTCTCACTTACAGTGATCAAATCTGCACAGTGTGCTAGATGTAGTCTCACCAGTGTCCTGTGCAATTGTAACAAGCCATCCCTACTTTTCTGCTCCATGTCCCTTGCAATACAAGTCTAACAATCCATTTACCTTCCTAATTACTTGCTGTACTTGGATTCTGACTTCTTATGTTTCATGTATCAGAACACCCAGATCCTCTTAAACAAAAAACTGAAATAGATATATGAATAGGAATGGTTTAGTGGGATATGGGCCAAATGCAGGCAAGTGGGACTAGTTTAGTTTGGAAAACTTGGTCAGCAAAGATGAGTTGGACCAAAGGGTGTGTTTCCATGCTGTGTGACTCTATAACTGTAGGTGCTGGAAATCCGAAACAAAAACAGCAATTACTGGAAAAACTCAGCTGGCCTGGCAGCATCTGTGCAGAGAAAGCAGAATTAGCATTTGGGTCCAATGACCTTTCAGAAATGTCTGAAGAAGGCCCACTGGACCTGAAACATTAATTCTATTTTCTCTCCACAGATGCTGCCAGATTTGCTGAGTTTTTCCAGCAATTTATCTCCTTGTGATCCAGGTCCTTCTGTATTGCAGCATTCTGCAGTGTCTCTTTTAAACAATATTCTGCTTTTCTGTTCTTCCTGCTGATGAAAACAATGGCTAAGGGAGGAGTGGAGATGCTTGGGCAGTGGGGAAAGGCTCTTTCCTTCTCTGTGAGTTAAAACTGATAGTGTAAACCATTTGTACATTATTCATGAATACTGGAGTGTGAGATTGAAGCTATAATAGTAATGATCAGCAACTGCTTGAGTTTCACTCTTACAGGTTGTGACATTAATCAAACCAGTCGGTCAAATTACAGTTTTGCCGCTCAATCCCATATTCTACGGACCGTGGTGTAAATTGGTTGTATTACAGAAGATGGTGTGACATGATTGCATTAAACAGAAAAATGAATGGGAAGGATCTGTGACTTGTTAACAGAATGAGTATTGTAGAATTCTGCTGTGTTTGAACAAGGATCTGGGTGCTGAGTGACAGACTGCTCAATTCTGACTTGCACACACTCAACACTTGATCACATTTCAGAGTAATTGACATTGTGAAGTTACTATTGCTGTGAGTAAACACAACAGCAATTCTAATCACAGTCAGAGCTCTCAATTAGCATTAAGGTGAAAGAAGTATTTGATTGTGTTTGCTGATTGTGCTGGAGCGGAGGAACGTTGGCAAGAAATGAAGTTCTGTTTTTCAGGGTTATCTATGTAATAATATGTAATAGCCCTGAAGGAAACCATCCAGCCTATCCTGTCTGTGACAACTCTTTGAACGAGTTATTCAATTAATCCCATCCCCTGCTGTTTGCCGTAGCCCTTCAAATTTCCACCTTCAAGAACTTATTCAATTGAATCAGTCATAGAGTTATACGGAAACATATCCTTCAGTCTAACTGGTCCATGCTGACTAGGTTTCTGAAACTGAACTAGTCCCATTTGCCTGCGTTTGGGCCCATATCCCTCTAAACCTTTCCTATTCACGTACCTGTCCGAATCTCTTGTAAGTATTGTAATTGTATCTGTCTCTACCACGTCTCTGGCAGTTTGTTCCATATATGTACCATCCTCTGTGTAAAAAAAGTTGCTCCTCAGGTCCCTTTTTAAATCTTTCCCCTTTCATCTTAAACCTATGCTGTCTAGTTTTGCAGTCGCCAGCCTGGGGAAAAGACCTTGACTATTCAACTTATCTATGCCCCTCATGACTTCATAAACCTCTATAAGGTCACCCCTGAGCCTCCTATGCTCTAGTGAAAAAAGGTCCCAGCCGTTCCTGCTTCTCCTTATAACTCAAAATGTCCAGTCTTAGTAACATCCTTGTAAATCATTTTCTCACCCTTTCCAGTTTAATAACTTTCTTCCTATACCAGGGCAACCAGAATTGTACACAGCACCCCAAAAGTGGCCTCACCAATGTCTTCTACAGCCGCAACATGATATCCCAACTCCTGTACTCAGTGCTCTGACCGATAAAGGCGAATATGCTTAGACGCCTTCTTCACCACCCTGTGATGCCATTTTCAAGGAACTATGTACCTATACCTCTAAATCTCTCTGTTCGACAACACTCCTCAGGGCCTTACCATTAACTGTATGAGTCCTGCCCTGGTTTGTGTTATCAAAATGCAACACCTCGCGTTTATCTAAATTAAACTCCATCTGCCGCTTCTCGGCCCATTGGCCTATCTGATCAAGATCTTGTTGTACTCTTAGATAATCTTCGCTGTCCAGTATACCACCAATTTTGGTGTCATATGTAAACTTACTAAACATGCTTCCTACTTTCTCATCCGAATCATTTATATAAATGACAAACAACAGTGGACCCTACGCTGATCCTTGTTGCACACTACTGGTCACAAGCCTCCAGTCAAAACAACAGCCCTCAACCACGACCCTCTGTCTCCTACCATCAAGCCAATTTTGTATCCAATTTGTTAGCTGTCCCTGGATTCCATGTGATCTAACTTTACTAACCATGTGGAACCTTGTCAAAGGCCTCGCAAGAGTCCATATAGACAATTTCTACTTCTCTGCCTTCATCTGTCTTCTTGGTCGCCTCTTCAAAAAACTCAGTTAAGTTTGTGAGACATGATTTCCCATGCACAAACCCGTGCTATCCTCAACCAGTCCTTGCCTTTCCAAGTTCATGTAAATCCTGCCTCTCAGAATGTCCTCCAACAACTTACCCACCACTGACATCAGACCCACCGGACCATAGTTCCTGGCTTTTCCTTACGGCCTTTCTTAAATAATGCTACAGCATTAGCCATTCTCCAGAATTCCGGCACCTCACCCGTGGCGTTAAAAAATCTCAGCAAGGGGTCCCACAGTTTCTTCCCTAACTTCCCACAATGTGCTGGGATACACCTGGTCAAGTCCTGGGGATTTATCTACCTCTTTGCATTTTAAGACCTCCAGAATCTTCACTTCTGTAATATGGATACTTTTTAAGACGTCACTATTTATTTCCTCAAGTTCCCTCGCTTCAATGACTCTCCACAGTAAATCCTGATGCAAAATATTCGTTCAGTATCTCGTCCATCTCTGGTTCCACACATTGACGGCCTCTTTGATCTTTAAGGAGTCATATTCTCTCCCTAGTTGTTCTTTTGCCTTTCATGTACTTGTAAAATCTCCTTGGATTCTCCTTAACCTTATCTGCCAAAGCTATCTGAAGTCCACTTTCTGCCGTTCTGTTTTCTCTCTTAAGTGTACTCCTACTCCCTATACTCCTGAAAGGATTCGCTTGATCCAAGCTGTCTGTACCTAACAAATGTCTCCTTTTTATTGACCAGAGCCTCAATATCTCCAGTTGTTTAGTGTTCCCTTCTTATACCAGCCTTGCCCTTCACTCTAACAGGAATATGCTGTCGCTGAAGTCTCATTATCTTACTTTTGAAAGCCTCCCACTTGCCAGTCACCCCTTTGCCTGCGAACAGCCTCCCCGAATTAATTTTTGAAAGTTCCTGTCTAATTCCGTCAAAATTGGCCTTACTCCAATTTAGAACTTTAACTTTTAGACAAGGCCTATCCTTTTCAATAACTATTTTAAAACTCATAGAATTATCAGTGGCCCCAAAGTACTCCTCCACTAATGCCCAGTCACTTGTCCTGCCTTATTTTCCAAAAGGAGTTTTGCTCTTTCTCTACGTATTGATGAAATTTCCTTGAACACACTTAACAAGTTCCTCCCCATCTAAGCCTTTAACACTATGGCAGTCCCAGTCTATGCTTGGAAAGTTAAAATCCCCTACCATTACCACCCTGTTATTCTTACAGATAGCTCCCTGGATATTTGCTCCCCAATTTCCTACTGACTCTTCGGCAGTCTATAGTACGATCTTATGAAGGTGATTATGCCCTTCTGATTTCTCACTTCTACCCATATACCCTCACTGGACAATCCACTTGGCCACTTGTATCTTTGTTATATCGGCTGTGGCTCATTTGATCGCAAAGTGACCTATGAGTCGGAATGTTGTTAGTTCAAGTCCCACTTTGGAGACTCAAGTAATCTAATACATTACTGACTGTGTGTGACATTTTCAGAGGTTTATTAAACAATCTGTCTGCCTCTCTCAGGTGCTGTAAAATAAATTCCCGTGGCATTATTTCTAAGAGTACAATGGAGTTCTCCCTGATGTGTGAAGTCAATATTTCGACAACATTCCTACAAACAAATTTCTGCCCATTATTCCATTGCTTTTTGTGGGATCTTGCTATTCAAATTGGCTGCTGCATTTCCTAATTATACGAGTGTCCATGTTTCAGAATATACTTTGTGGGCTGTAAAGCACTGTATAATGTACTGAAATCAAGAAAGGCATGAAAGAAATATAATTTCATTTATTATTTCTGGGGCTGTGATTGCACAAGTGTTAGGAACAAGTTTTCAGAGTATCAAAGTTTTGTAAACTCTCAGATGACCCATTTGAATGCATAATGTGTTCTTAAACAAACAATTATTTTGTTCTACACAGGGGTCTTCTTCATAACTTGACCTGGAATTTTGAAGCTGTTACAATAGATGATATGCAAATCCTTCTTAGTCAGTCTCCCGCTGAACTGTATAGGACTACCACAGTTTTTAAGGTCATTTCTGATTTTTCTCAGCTGCCCACAAGCTGCAACCAAGAACTTTTCCTTTTACTTAATAGAACCCTTTGCTACAAAAATTTCCAGCATCAATTCAACCTTCCCATGTTTTGTAGTATCATAGGAGGCTTGGCAGGAAACAGGTCAGGCCCCTTAGTCAATAAAGTTTGCAATAAAGTGAATTTCATATATACGTATCTCACTAAGGGATTAAATTTCTACACTGATTACTGTGAGAAAAGAAGACTTGATGTAGGGTCTTTTTCTTCAAGTGACACCAGGCAAATTGAAGATCTGATTTGTAATTACGATTCATGGGTTGTTGGAGATTTGTTCAACTCTACAGATTTTGGTTATTGTGCTGTTGTAGATGAAGTTGGTTTTAGAAAAACTGTCTGCACTAATACATCACTGTTGGAAAGCATCATGAAAAACCCAGCTCACTTTTGGCTGAAAGACTTCTGTGCTAGCAGTTCAAATACTATGCTTGTTCCTACATTTATCACTGATGTAGTCAGTGAAGGTGCGTATATTGACTTCACCATCAGTCCAGCCACCGTTGTCCCTCCTGTAAAAGGAGTAGACAACTACTGTCGTTATGAGGAGTGGACGGACTTCTCCATGGTGGATAATAAAGTGATCACGTTCTGTGCCAGTCATGATGGTGACCATTTCACTCATGTGATTTGCAGTGATCAGTCTGCAGTTCAGGAGCTCATAAAGGGCAATTTTTGGCTGGCTGACTTTTGCAATAATTACTCCATTCTGAGTGGCAATAGTGAATTCTGCATGTATGACAAGTGGAAAGAGGATCCTGTAGATCCATTGATAATCTCGTTATGTTGGAGGAGTGACCAAACAAATTTCAATAAATCAGTTTGCAATGATGTGATTGTCCTAAATGAACTGATGCTGGATCCTGGCAATACTTGGCTTCTATCTGCCTGCAGTGCTGAGAACAGTTGCAACTATGAGGAGTGGCTGGACACTCTTTCTGTAGCCCCTGCTGTTGTTGTACTCTGCAAGGAAACTGATCAAGCTGCTTTTAACTGCATGGTTTGCACCAATCCATCACTCTTGGAGATTCTGCTGAATAATTCTGAAAACTCCTGGCTGAACGACTTCTGTCCCAGCAATTCACATTCCACAGTGGTGCCCACTGTAGTTCCAGAGGAAGGCAGTAATATAGTACCTGTCCGTTCTACTGCCAACCCAACCATGCAAGAAAATCTTATGACTGCTGTGGAAAGTCTTTGCCACTATGAAAATTGGACGTACCCAGCTGTAGTAGATAGCACTGTGGTAGCAGTGTGTTTCAATATTGACAGGGAGCAGTTCAACATACATGTGTGCAAAAACCCAGTAATTCTTCAGGAGCTGTTGAAGAATGAGTTCAATCTTTGGCTGACTGATGTTTGCAGTGATGCTTCCGTTTTGGCTAGTGGTCATACTGATGTGGCCACATACTGTCAATACAGTCAGTGGACACATGAACCCATCGATCCTTACGTGGTAGATTTTTGTTGGAGGAATGACGAAGCAAATTTCACTCGATTTGTTTGTCGTAGTGAGGCATTGCTAAGTGAGATGTTGTTGTATCCTGAAAATGCTTGGTTAAAATCCCACTGCAACATCCAAATCACTCCACACACAAATGATCAGAATGAAAACTGCAGATACGAAGAGTGGATAGATCTCTCTTCTTTTGATCTTGCTGCTGTTGAATTCTGTAGTCAGTATGACCTCGACAATTTTGTACAAGCTGCTTGTGACAATTCAACACGATTGTGGGGGTTGCTGATCAATGTGAGCAGCACCTGGCTCTCTAGCTACTGCTCTCACGTTGAAGGAGATGGAATAAATACTGCTGCCACATGTGTTTATTCTTTCTGGACGGAACAACGGGTGGACCCAACCACTGTGGCACTCTGCTTTGACTACGATCAGAGCAATTTCAATAAATATGTATGCCAAGATCCTGATGTGCTTCATGCATTGATCAGCGATCCAGAGAACACTTGGGTTGAGGCGGATTGCATGGAAATCAATAACTCTACCAACTCTATAGAGATCAAGATCTGCCCAGTGGAAGATCTCATCTCGCAACTCCAGTGGACATGCACTCTGGGCACATCACAACTATGCACATCCGAACAGTTCCGATTGGGAGATATCCCTCCTCTAATTATGTGTGGTTTGGAAAACATTGGTCTGATGCTTCATAATACACTTACTGAAGATCTGACAGTAAGCTTTATGGATGCAATAAATAAGATCTTCATGGTCTTAATGACCTTGGAAGATGATCGAATTGCGTTCCTTCAAGTTGTTCAGAATGCTAAAAGAAGTGTCCTGCAAACTGTTCTAAACTACCTGCAGAATGAGAAGAACTACAGAATCAAGAAAGAACTACTCCAGTGTTTTGGGGTAAGGCATAAATAATACTAATTGCATTTATGGGAACTAAATTATATTCCTTTACTGGGTTTCCCGTCATGTATTATTTGACAGTCCCCTTTTTAAACATTTTCTAATTGACTTGTTCAAACCTGTCATGTTACACCTCTGGAGCAGGTGGGACTTGAAACCGGCCCTCCTGACCCAGAGGAAGGGACACTATCACTGTGCCGTGAGCCCAACACCTCCCATTTTACAATATCTTGTGGTAAATTGTGATCATGTGCCACAAAGTTGGGGTCATCTAATATTATTATAAGAATTTCAATTCCATTCAAGTTGTAATTCTTTGTTGATCTGTCAAACTAGAACCTCTCAAAATGAAAATTAAGGAATTAAGACAGTGGCACAGTGGGTCAACCTCTTCCCTCTGAGTTTGAAGGTTACGGGTGAAGGTCCCACTTCAAAGATTTGAGCACAAATCTAGCTTGACCTTCCCAGAGTGCTGTGTGTTGGTAGTGCTGCATTGTTGAAGGCACTGTCTTTCAGATGAGAAAACCCAAAATCCACTGTTGTTTGCCATCATAATTGGGCACCATTCAAGGAAGAGGAGGAGTGTTCTCTTCAATGTTTGGACCACTGTTTCTCAGCTAATATGTGACCGTGCTATTCCTGGTCAAGTAGGGGATGATTTTGTAATTCTTTCTTAATGTCATCAGAAGACTTCACTGCTATTAAGTGATTAGGATTGATCTTACACATGCCATTTATATTTCATAATGATCTTCCACTGATTGGGTTTTGCTGGAGAAATTGTATGCTGTAATTTTGGCTATGGGTTCTGTTGTCATAGTTTGTGGAGACACTATCTAAGTAGATTTTGTACACTAATGAGCTGTTTAAGTGGAGGTTATTGCTGTAAAATAGACTCTGCTGTGAGCCTTGACATAAGTTCCATGTAATCTCTTTGATAGACATTGTGTTGTCAATAGGCACTCTTATATTAACACTATTTTTTGTGTATTTTTTCAGTCTGTCCTGTTGAACTTGGTGAAAAAGGAAGGGGGTTCATCAGGCATGGACCTAATAAGGGTAATGTGTTATGTTTTGACAATATCGATACAACTCTTATCATGGGAAGAAAACAATTGTCCACATTAAAGAGGGAAGCTTGGATTTAGAGACTGATAGATATTTATAGAGAAGCTAGATAAATATGCCAGAGTGAAGTGAATAGTCTTTTGATTTGTTGAAATGATGTAATTTGGGAGCAGGTTTGTGTGGAGCAGAAACACTAACTCAGGTCAGTAGGTCGGAATAGTCTGCTTCCACCCTCTCTGTTCTATATAAATCCCATACAGAGCTGCACATTTATTCACTAAGGCATTGGGCCAACTAGAACTTGTGTGAGAGGGCAAAAGAGACATAGAACAAAGAACAAAGAAAATTACAGTACAGGAACAAGCCTTTCGGCCTCCCAAGCCTGCACTAACATGCTGCCTGTCTCAACTAAAACGCCCTACCCTTCCGGGGACCATATCCCTCTATTCCCATCCTATTCGTGTATTTGTCAAAATGTCTTTTAAAAGTCGATATTATATCTGCTTCCATTACCTCCCCTGGCAGCAAGTACCATGCACCCCCCACCCTCTGTGTAAAAAAAAACTTGCCTCGTACATCTCCTTTAAACCTTGCCCCTGGCACCTTAAACTCATGGCCCCTGGTAACTGACTCTTCCACCCTGGGAAAAAGCTTCAGACTGTCCAGTCTATCCATGCCCTTCATAATCGTGTAGCCCTCAATCAGGTCGCCCCTCAACCTCGGTTGTTCCAGTGAGAACAACCCAAGTTTCTCCAACTTCTCCTCATAGCTAATGCCCGCCATACCAGGCGACATCCTGGTAAATCTTTTATGTACCCTCTGCAAAGCCACTGTGTCCTTCTGGTAGTGTGGTGACCAGAATTGAACGCAATATTCCAAATGATGCCTAACTAAGGTTCTATAAAGCTGCAACATTACCTGCCAATTTTTAAACTCAATGCCCCAGCCGATGATGGCAAGCATGCCATATGCCTTGTTGACTACCTTTTCCACCTGCATTGCCACTTTTAGTCACCTATGTACCTGTACACCCAGATCCCACTGACTATCAGTACTCTGAAGGGTTCTGCCATTTACTGTATATTTTGCATCTGGATTAGACCTTCCAAAATGCATTACTTCACATTTTTCCAAATTAAACTCCGTCTGCCATCTCTCTGCCCAAGTCACCAACCGATCTATATACAGCTGTATCCTCTGACGGTCCTCATTGCTATCCGCAATTCCACCAACCTTTGTGTCATCGGCAAACTTACTAATCAGGCAAGTTACGTTCTCCTCCAAATCATTTATATATATTACAAACAGCAAAGGTCCCAACACTGATCCCTGAGGATTGCCACTAGTCACAGCCCTCCATTCAGAAACGTACCCTTCCACTGCTACCCTCTGTCTTCTGTGACCGAGCCAGATTTTTATCCATGTTGCAAGCTCACCTCTGACCCCGTGCGACTTTACCTTCTGTATCAGCCTGTCATGAGGGACTTTGTCAAAGGCCTTACTGAAGTCCATGTAGTCAACACCCACTGCCCTACCCTTATCGATCATCTTCGTCACTTCCTCAAAAAACTCAACCAACTTAGTGAGACACGACCTCCCCTTCACAAAACCATGTTGCATTTCGCTAATAGGCCCACTGATTTCCAGGTGGGAGTAAATCCTGTCTTGAAGAATCCTCTCCAATAATTTCTCTACCACTGACATAAGGCTCACCAGTCTGTAATTAACTGGATTATCCTTGCCATCCTTCTTAAACAAAGGAACAGCATTGGCTATTCTCCAATCCTCTGGGACCTCCCCTGTAGCCAGTGAGGATACAAAGATTTCCCTCAAGGCCCCAGTAATTTCCTCCCTTGCCCTTCTCAGTATTCTGGGGTATATCGCATCAGGCCCTGGGGACTTGTCTACCTTAATGTTTTTCAAGATCCCAGTATCTCCTCCCTTTTGATCTCAACATGACCCAAACTGTCTATACGCCCTTCCCCAGACTCATCATCCACCAAGTCCTTCTCTATGGTGAATACTGACGCAAAGTACTCATTTAATACTTCGTCGATTTCCTCTGGCTTCTCACATAAATTCCCTTCCCTGTCCTTGAGCGGGCCAACCCTCTGCCCTTTGTATAAAAAGCCTTGAGATTTTCCTTAATCCTGTTGGCCAATGATTTTTCATGACCCCTTTTAGCCCTCCTGACGCCTTGCTTAAGTTTCTTTTGACTTTCCTTGTATTCCACCCTTGCTTCGTGTTTTCCCAGCCTCCTAGCCTTGATAAATGCTTCCTTTTTCTTTTTGATTAGGCTGACTATCTCTCGTTATCCAAAGTTCCCTAAACTTGCCATACTTATCCTTCAAAAGGAACAGCATAGATGCAAATGCGTGATGCATTCAATTTTCTCAGTGTATCCTGTGTGCACTAATTATTTGTGTACATCCGAGATGAAATGGCAGATTCTGAACGCAGAGGCACATCCCAAAGTCATAGCAGACCCAGCCAGTTCAAGGGACTATACTCTGAGGCCAGGGAGTTTCATTTTCCAGTGGTAGGTATTGTGTCTTTGAGCTTCTCATGTGTGATCAGTCAATAAATGTCTTCTTAACTGCTAGTCTGTAATGGGAAAGTTACTCCTTATCTATACAAACGATATCGTAGAGTAGGAGAGACTGAACTGTGACTCGTGGAACTTTCTGGTCCAGCCCTGAGATCAGTAATAATCTCTCGTGTTTCTTTTTCATGTCTTTGTCTCGTTGGAATTTGTGTGCCTTAAGAATTGACTGGGTTGTTGTCTCAATGGTGGACAGATTCTAAATCAGAAGTCAATATCTGTCTCTGTGTCAGCAGCTTGCCAGACATGGAGGTTTAGTTATGGTGCTTTGATTTAAACTATACATAGCTCACAACGCTCTATGCTACACACCCATACAGCACAGTGGAACTAAATCAGTGCAGATACAATTGTATGTTTTTATTCAGATATAAACTCTGTAGTAATTACTGTTGTTAATTGTTTTTCACTGACAGCTCTTTCTTACCCTCCAAACACAGGAGTATTTACAACTCTCTGCAGTCGATCTTCAAGGGGTGCTTTTTGCACTTGACATTCAAGCTACAAAACAGCTACTACAGCACTTGAATACAAACTGGAACGGTTTGCAGGTAAGCTATTTCATACCATTTATCATTAAACTCTTGATAAGCTCGGCTAACCAGAAAGCTTTTTTTTTTAGCAATTTCACTACTAAAGAGGATCGCAACATGCGACTTTTTTTATCCACTTTCTGTACGTAGTTAATGGTCTAAAAAGAAAATATAATCTGAACATGGAGAGATTTGCAATTCTTGTCGTACTTTTCACACTCAGGATGTCCCTGTGTGTAAGGTAGTCAATGAAATTTTGAAGCATAGGAATTGTAATATAAATGTAGAGTGTAATTTGCGGACAGTTCCGGGAACCAGCAATGCAATAATGGCCTTATCTGGTTTAATAATGTTAGCAGAGAAATAAATTTGGCCATGCATCCAGGATAGCTCCCCTGCTCCTCTTCATAGTAATGTCATCAGTTCTACTTGAAATTGAAGATGGGGTCTTGGTTTAACATATCACCTGAAAGATGGCAGCTCTGACAATGCTGCATTCTCTCAGTGCTGCACAGAGAGTGTCAAGTCTCTTGCTGTTCTGATTCAGAGGTGGGTGTGAACGCAAAGAACCCAGCTTTAATACTTGAATGAATTTGAGGTGATTCGCCCATTGACTTTCCTCCTTTCCCTGGAGTTTCAATTAAGGGCCACTACTTTTGAGGCAACAATGTTAATTGTTTCCTGCTTAATTGGGTGTAAATTGCATGTATTAAGATTGGAAGGCATTGTGTATTATAAAAACAGTTGATACAAAAGGATCAGATATTAACATTGAGTGGGTAGAACCGCTTGAAGTGTCATGTGCAACTGCAGAATCCTAACACTACTTCTGACTGACAAATAAACCCGGGGCCACCTCACAAACCATGAAGAATTACTTCCATTAAAGGGTACCCATGTGATTTATATAGTTGCTTACTGCTGAATGCTCTAAACATGGTACACATAGTATAGTGGTAATTGATGATCTGTATTTTATCTACATATGGCAGCTTCATTGCTTGTTATACTGCTCAAATCTCTTGTAGATTGTCTATCACATTGACTGAGAAAAGATTTGATGTTATCTCACAAAGCAAGTTAGGGAAGTGTTTCTTAAAGACAGGATTATCCCCAGTGAGTGCAATGGAATCTTACAACCTTGAACTAAAATTTTAAAAATGTGTACATTATATAAATATTTTCATTTTGAAGTATGTTTAACTTTTCTGATTCTGAGGTAACGAATTCTGCTTTTAAAAGTTCTGGTTTTAATTTCAGATTCAGGATGATTTGAAGAGAGTCATGGCATCTGTTTACTTCAACAGAATCCTGCTCATCAACCCAAATATTTTTGTAGAGTTTGATAATTTCCTACCACTTCTGTCAGCATCTGAGATTCAAGCTCTTCCAGCAATCGTGGACAAAGAGCAAGTGTGCGTTACACATGCTATCAGCAGTTTAAGATCTGTGTTTGATTATCTGTTTGATTATTTTCTTGCTTGTTATCTTCCTCTTAGTGCAACAATCGTGTTAATGTGTTCACAAAGATTACCATTGACTGATAGCTCAAAATCATAAATATTATTGAGATACTGTATAACTATGTTTGTACATTTAAATTTGGGGATTTGCAAGAGGTCACAATTAGAGGAGCACGCATATTTCTGACGATTATGTAGCTGAAGGAGGTTAGAGTTGGAGAGGAAGTACAAGGCTTTGGAGTGATTTGAAACGAAGGATATGATTTTAAAACTGAGGCATTGCTGGACGCTGAACCATTGTAGCTCAGCCATCACAGGAATATGGGTGAATAGGACGTAGAAGCAGGCTAGGATACAGACAGCTGAATCCTGGATGAGCTCCAGCTTACAGAGAAAGTAAAACTCATGAATATCGTAGGCTAACCCTGTTATCAGGTTCATGGAGATGGGATTGTTTATCTTTGTATTACTACAGCGAGTGAACATGCCCAGTGAATGTGCATCAAATCAAGCATCCAACAAATGCAATTTTTATGACTTTGTGTTGGATGGTCAGATCAGTGTCAATTTAAAGGTATGTACTCTCAATTTATGCCAAATGCAGTCACTTGTTTTGATAAAATCCCATGCTTAGTGAACTGTTGCCCAGTTTGCTGTTTGGTATCAAAGGGCAGTGTAGCAGTCTCCATCCTCACATTTGTATATTTTTTTAATTTCCAGATTGTACATGGTTAACCAAAGCTTTGGGAAACTGTCAAGTGACCAGAGACGAGCCTTTGTCCAATGGGCAGTGAATGCTGAGCAGTATAGCAACATCAGCACATGGTCTTTGAAATTCCTGCATCAAGTTGGTAGTCTGCTGGTATACCTACCATTTGATAAGTTTCAGCTTCTGACCCGTCTACAGGTACTACACCACGGAAATAAAAAGAAAATTTCTATAAGCAGTGTTTACAACATTAAAGCATCCTGTAACACTTTATGATAGAGGTACTTTTGAAGCACACAAGACCCCACAAAAATGTTTGTTCATGAGCATATCATTTTTTAATGTTATTTCAGGGACATGTATTGATCATGCATCTGTGACAAGTTACCTTGCACTTCTTCAGAACAGTGGCATGGGATCCCTTATCTCCACCTGAGAGGATTTATGAAGCCTAGGTTTATGATCTTGTCCAAACTTGGTATTTTGAGAGTGCAGCCTTCCATCATTACTGCATTGCAACATCAGTCTCAGGTCTCAGGAGTGGGACTTGCCCATGCAAATACTCTCCCCTTCATGCAAATCCCTTCCCTCTCCCATCTCTGCATCAAGGAATGATTTGCTGTCAAGTTCCTATTTGTAATTTACTCTGTCAATTGCATAGTCTATGAGCCAGCTAACTGATGGAGTTTGGTATGTGGACTGTTTGTGTGGTTACAGAATTCTAATATAGAAGTACTAAGTGAGCTGACTGTTTTCCTTGATTTCTTTTTTGTTTTTTACTGATGTATTCCCAGATACTCAATTCATTGAATGTGCTGTTGATGAATAATTTAACTACAGTCCAGGAAAGGTTTGTCATTCACAGCATCTTAAAACAGGGAATCGCAATGACAGCCTCTGAGTTTGATTCGTAAGTAATGCAGTCGCTTGAGAGACTCACTAATTTTCCCCTGGAAATTAGATGCAAGTTGGATGTGAGAGCTTTTGAGAATGTCACAGAGAAATTCAACAAGTAAGTTTCCAAGTGTATGATAAATGAACTAGGAGATGAGGTTAGGCTCTCAGGCTAGAGAAGATGCAATTGAGGGACATCGTTGAGTGCAGAAAATAACAAGTGGTTTAGCTAAGAAACACTAAGTCCTTACTATCCACCAGGAAAAGAGGCATGGATTTCCCGTGGATACTGAAAAGAATGCAGATACTGCTAATCCCCTCTCTCATGTGCCGCCACCTAATATACACTCAGTGAAACGAAAAGGTGCCTTATTATATTGGAAAAACACTAAAACATTTTAATAAACACATTTAAATTAATTTTAACTAATCACTTCTGATACATTGTTCTGTAATGTTCCTGAGCATAATGATTTGATCTTGTTGTATGATCTGCCATCCAAAAACCTGTCTGTTTTTCATGAAGAATGCTGTCTGCTTCTGCTTGCAGTCTGTTGAGGTAGTATCGAAGTAGTGGCCCTTAGTTGAAGACCTATCCAGATACTGACAGCACTGTTATGACCCTTGAGTTGTTGCAGTCACTGAGATTTTCTTTCGCAGCTTGACAATTACTTGTCACCTCAAGTCATCCAAAATGTCGTCTTTTGTCCAGATCTGAAGGATAGAATCTTCACAGTGCAAAAAGAGGCCATTCAGCCCATCAAGTCTGCACTGATGCCTCCTGCGAAGAGTATTCCTCCCAGACCAACCCCCAGCTCCCTACCCTATCCGCGTAACCCTGCTTTTCCCCATTAATGCACCTCACCTATACACTATGAGCAATTTAGCATGGCCAGTCCATCTAATCTGTACATCTTTGGACTGTGGAGTGAAACCGATGCCTCCAGAGGAAACCCACGCAGACATGGGGAGAATGTCCAAACTCCACACAGACAGTCACCCAAGGTTGGATTCGAACCTGCGTCCCTGTCTCTGTGAGGCAGCAGTGCTAACCACTGAGCAACATTGCCACCCCTATCTTGTTGATCTTCTGAACTGTGATGCTGCTCTTACCATATTTCAGTTGCTTTGTTGGTATCCTGTCATTTCCAGGTGCCAGGTTTGCCTTCAGGCTTTCCTTGGCTCTTTGAATCCCTGATATGGTTGCTTCCCAGTGGACATTCCCTGCTGAAGTGCAGTGCTGTCATTGAACATTGAATAAAGAATTGGGGTTATGATTGTTGAGGATCTCCTGAAAGAATTCCACTGTTTTTGCCTCCTCCTCCTTGATTGTCTAGCGTCTGAGCATCTTTGCCTTTCATTGGTTCAGTAGTGAAAATAACAGATGCTGGAGATCACAGTGAGTCAGACAGCATCCATGGAGAGACAGCAAGCTAATGCTTCAATTCTAAATGACTCTTCAGCAGAGCTGAAGTGAAGTGTGGAGGGAGCAGCATTTACACTAAAGTTGAGAGGGGGGGTGATGTGTGGTGGGGTGTACAGTGTTGGCGGAGAAAAGATGTTGATAGCTCAGGTTAAGTGATTGGAATGTGAGAATGGCAGACCAATGGTGTGTCTAACTACCAGACTTGCAAGAACAGAAAGTCCCACTGGGTTGGGAGTTTGGGGGAGTGGAGAGAGGATATGGTGACAGAGAATGTAACAAGTAAAGCTAAAAGAAAGGGAAGAAATTGGAGTTGGTTCACAATTTGAAGATGTTAAACTCAGTAAGTCTAGAAGGCTGTAAAGTGCCTCATCTGAAGATGAGATGTTGCTCCTCCAGTTTGCGCTGTGATTCGCTAGAGTATTGCAGCATGCCAAGGCATGCAAGCAGAACACTGTGTTAAAATGACCAGCTACAGGAAGGATGGTGTCATACTTGCACAGAGATCTGAGGTGTTCTGCAAAGCGGTGACCCAGTCTGCGTTTGGTTTCTCCTATGTAGAGTAGGCCACATTGTGTGCAGCAAATACAATTCAAGATTGGAGGAGGTACAATTGAAATATTGCTTCACCTGAAAAGACAGTTTAGGCTCTTGGATGGTGAGCAGGGAGGAGGTGAAGAGGTAGGTGTTGCATCTTCTGTGGTTACGTGGGAAAGTGCCATGGGAAGGGAGTTGGTGTTAGTGGTCGATAAATGGACTAGGGTGTCCTGGAGGGGGCAATCCCTGTGAAATGCAGACAGTGGGAGTGAGGGGAAGGTGTGTTTGGTGGTGGTGTTCTGCTGGAGTTGTCTGAAATGAGGGAGAATGATCCTTTGAATGTGGAGGCTGGTGGGATGAAAAATGAGGACAAGGGGGACCACTTGCCTGCGCTCTCCATGGATAAGATAGCAAGAAATGCAGATGCTGGAGTCAGAGTCAACACAACACAGTGTGGAGCTGGAGGAACACAGCAGGTCAGGCAGCATCAGAGGAACAGGGAAGTCAACGTTTCGGGTTGGAACCCTTCATCAGAACTCTGAGCTCTGATGAAGGGTCCTGACCTGAAACACTGACTTTCCTGTTCCTTTGATGCTGTCTGACCTGCTGTGATCTCTAGCAGTTGCAGTAATTTGCTCCAGCATTGGTTCTGTAGTGTTGCTGTAGAAGTGGTCAGCTACAGCATCTTGGAATTATTCTAATGCTTACGTCTGTGCTTCCCTGCCTTTTAACTCTTGTTTGTCTTTTCTGCAGCTCTTCTTTGCTTTTCCCAGTCTTTTATACTGGATAATATGACTAGAAGTTAGTAAGAACATAAAAAATGAAAACTTCTAAAAAAGTTAAATCTAGTGTGTGATAAGGTCAGATTGTTATGGATGTAGATCCTTAAGGTACAAGGCAAGGCAGCTTCAGCAGACAATGTGATCTTTCTTAGCCCTTGAGCTTTTAAAAATTCCTTCCTGTATAATTATTCTCCGTTTTTAAGGGATAGGGAAATAAATGTTGCATGTAATTGAAAAATACATGCATGTTCTTCCCTTCTTAATTGTACAATTATCTTTCAGTGGTATTTTCTCCCATTTCTAGACTGGGCAGACTGATATGTTCTGCAACCACCCAGGACCTAAGATTCTACAAACAGAATCTGCACGTGTTTGACATCATTAAGAAACAGCTGCTGAAATGTATTGGCGATCAAATCTTTGTTCCTAATGAATTGGTGAGTTAACCATATACAGGTAATATTCTTGCTAGAACTGAGAGCTGATAATCATACCACGAGAACAACAGGACATTGGGGACCTTCATGAATGATGGAGCCATCAGTCTTTCTCCTTGAGAAACAACATGCATGACACAGACACAAATCAGGTGAATTAGTCATATCAGAACAAAAGGGTGGGAGAGATTGGATCCAAAAAAAGAAAGAGAAAGAAGTGCAAGAGAAAAAAAATTGATTTTGCTTGTTAGAAATCTCTAGCAGTTTCTGAGCCAGTGAGATTTAGGAGTGGCATTGTATTAACAATTGTCATGTCATAGAGTCATACAGCACGGAAACAGGCCCTTCGGCCCAACTTGTCCACGCTGACTAGGTTTCCTAAACTGAACTAGTCCCATTTGCTCATATCTCTCTAAACCTCTCCTATCCATGTACCTTTCCAAATGTCTTTAAGATGTTGTAATTGTACCCACCTTTACCATTTCCTCTGGCAGTTCATTCTAAATGCAAACCACCCTCTGCATGAAAAGGTTGCCCCTCAGGTGCCTTTCAAATCTTACCTATCTCGCCATAAACCTATGCCCTCTAGCTTTGGACAGCCCCTACCCTTGGCTCTTCACCTTATCTATGCCCCTCATGATTTTATAAACCTCTATAAGGTCACCCCGCATTTTTAAGCCGCTTATGCTGTTAATCATGAGCTCCAACTTTCGGCAGCAAACTTTTAAATGCCTGATTAGTGCACAAATCTTCAAAAATAATGAGAAAGCCTAGAGTGAGATGTCCATATGTCAACCAGGAAATTCTGGCAATTCACAACTCAGTCATGTTGAAACAAAGGAATTGGTTAGCTCCCTTGGCTGGACGCCTGGTTTTCAATGCAGAGTGACGGCAGCAGTGTGATTTCAGTTTCTACAACGGCTGTGGTTACCGTGAAGGTCCTGCTTTCTCAACCTCTCCCCTCACTTGAAGCCTGGTGACCCTCAGAATAAACTCACCATCAGTCATCTGTTGTAATGAGCAAACAGCCCAAAGGTCTTCTGGAACGAAGGCGACTTTACCTTAGTATTTGAACGTGTCCATTTTTACCTTTGCGTGTTGTAACTCTATTGCTTAAACTTGTTAGTTGATTTATATATTAATATTAGGCATCTCTTCTTCCTCCCATATACAGCTCACAGAATTTTTGGTCAGAACAACTAGTGTAACCAACCAAGAAATCTTGATGAATGATGAATTATTAAGTATGGCTGGGCTTCTTCCAATTCTTGGGGTGTCCTTCATAAAACAACTTCAACCTTCACAAATACAAGCAATGCTCCCGGAACTCAGTGCAATGACTTTTTCTCCTGTGCAGGTAATGTTTTACTTAAGTACTTTTGGCACACAGGTCCAAGTATATTTTAACAAACACTTTTAAACTATTGTTCTCATATTTGTGTTTGGGTGGATGGCCGAGATAAAGTGGACTTCCTGACTTGCAATAGGAGAAGGAAAGATAGGGACTATGATTGTGTTGAGAAGTGTGCAGTTGAGGAGGGATTAATTGACTGGCAAGAAAATGTTGAATTATCAATGAGCTGGAGGAAGCTGGCTTCTAAAGCACTGAGATTCAACAGTTCCAGAACAACTCCAGTGTAATGATTTCTTAGAAATTTCTTAAAAACATTAATATTTATAACATTTATTTCAGGCAAGGGAAATAACTGACAAGATACTTCAAAATGTGTCGGTAAGTATTACATTAATTTGAATTAAATTGGTTTGTGCCCTCTCTGTCAGTTTGTGGATATAATTTGAACCATTGTTCACAGTCTGTTCCTTTCTGTAGATTACAGAGGAGTTGCTGAGCAACCTGGGGTCATTAGTAATTGGTCTCAGCCCATCGATTATGCAAGTCATTCCAACAGCTTTATTGGTGCATGCCATGCCCAGTATAGCAGAGTATGGATGGAAACTCAATCCTGTTCAGAAGCTGATCATTGTAAACAAGCTATGGGTTTGTATTGGAATATTGTCTCTCACCATCTTCCTTTCCCTCATTGTCATTGTAGGGCTTTCCATCTTAGCATCAAACCTTGCCCAGTGGGTAGCATCCTCACTTCTTAGAAGCTTGTGGTTCAAGTTGTATTCCAGATACATAAGTATAAACTCTTGAGGGATTGCACCTGCTGTTGAAGAGCTGCCTTTCGATTGAGACTTTTAACTGAGGTCCATCTGTCATATAAAGTGGATAGAAAATATGCATTGGTAGCATTTCTAGAAATGCAAGGCCTTTCTTCCTAGAGTCTTGGTCAATATTTTTCCCTCAACCAAAATCATACCTGGTCACAACCACATTGCTGTTTTTGGGGGCTTACTGTCTGCAAATTGGCTGTAATGACACTTGTATTACGGCAGTGACTACACATCAAGAAATACTTCATTGCCTGTAAGATTCTTTGAGGCTTCCTGAGTTTGTAAAAGGACCTTTGGAAATGCACGTTCTTTGTTTCTCCTTCCTCCTTTCTTTCCCCATTGATTTATGCAGTTGAAATTTCAATTTCGGTATTCCCTTATTTATCACATTTCCAATTCAAGGCAGGAGAGATCACAAGAAAATTCCAGCACCACTCTTTATTTACCAAAAAAAGCAATCAACCCTTAATAGTTCACATTTAACTGTGCTCATGCAATTGCTGTCAGGAGGGGTTCCAAGTTTTAGACGACTCAGTGCCCCTTATTTAAAAAAAATAAGCAGCTCATCTGTTTTGTTAGGAGAGAATTTGATAGCTAGGACAGCTGCCTTCCTTTTCAAACTGAACCATAACATTCACATTCACCTGAACAGGTAGAAAGGCTTGTGATTCCATGTTAAATTCAAAGGACAATGCTCCCTCCCTTTCAACTACACTGCAGTGCCAGTCTAAATTACACTCTCAAATTGTGAAATAAAGCTTGACCCCTTGTTCTGATCTAGAGACTAGAGTGCTACCACTGAGTCAAACTGACATTTTTAAGATTTTTGAGGTTAGAGGGCTGCAGAGAAAGCTGGAAGTAAAGATGCTGTTTTAAACTAAATAGAATTGTCATAAGACTTCAGTAATTAAGTGCAGGAGTTCATGGCGATAGGTGAGATTTGGAATTGTCAGACCATTCAGCCCATCTTGATTGTCCCTGTTCTTCAGTGGAGTTACTGAATTCATCTTACCCACCTGCTGTTTTCCCAGATTCTTGTAGATTTCTTTCCCTTCAAGAATTTATTTCATTCCTTTTCAAAAGTTAATATTGAATTGACTTCCACTGCCCTTTCAGGCAACACATTGCTGGCACAGTAACTCTCTGTAAAAGTACTTTACCTTGCATCCACCTGGTTCTTTTGCTGTTCACATTGAAGCTCTGTTGTCTGCTTACTGTCTCTCTACCACTGGTAGCAGTTTCTACTTACTTACTCAATTAGACTCATTTTTTATTTTGAGCATCACCTCCTCTTTATCTACACTGCTCTGCTGTCCTCTACAGACAACAAACCTAATTTCTGCAATGTCCAGTTTCTCCACAAGATGCTGTGTATTAATCTTTATCTCTGGGAAGTTGGACCACCACCTTCTCAATTCCAACTTTGTGTTGGAAGACAACGATTTTGACTCACTATCATTCACACCAGGGAACTAACATTTAAAATAATTTTAATATTTGATCACATTATTAGGCAGCATTGTTTGATAAATGTAGCAGAACAAAGGACTTTGCAGCTGGATGGGCCCTGAATAATAGATAAGGCCGTGGTTTGTAAAGGGATTTGGCAGTGTGAAATTTCATTGAGAATGATATCTGAAACTGATAGAGTTGAATGATTGTTTAAGGTATTCTGACACCTTATCTGGACCTGGGCCAAGAACACGTTCAAGTTTACAGTAAGCCAGACACCTGAGCCATTCATTTGTCAGGATTAGGTAATAGTAGACTGTTTGGTAACCTGATCACAGAAATCTGTCTTCTAAATCAGGCCTGTCAGTCACTTTCTTAATTATATTAAATGCTATCCTTTCCAGTCTGATAGTGTTTTGCTGATAATTGTTTGATTCCCTCTCTTTTCCTCCAGTTTTTACCCTTCTTATCCTGAAGGCGATAAGTCACTGGATAGGAGACTTTACATACCACTATTATACTCCTATGAACCAGTCATGCGTGATGAGTGCAATGGTCAGAGATAGGCAGATGCACGTTTTAACTCATTCCGTGGCAACTGGGTTATGGCACATTATACCAAAGTTCCTGGCTAACATTTATCCCTCACAACATTACTAAAATAAAGCACACCGTCACACTGATGTTTGTGGGAGCTTGCTGTGCACAAATTGGCTGCTGTCTTTTCCACATTACAAGTGATTACAATTCAAGAGTATTTCATTGGCTGGCTTCAGGCATGTCCTGAAGGTTGTAAAAAGCTTGTGGAAATGGAAGTCTTTCGTCTTTACCTCATGAGTGCACATTTACAAGAAATTCTACATCTGTAAATGAGGTGGTGAATGCTGGCAGGCAAATGCCACAGTCGAGTCCAGTGTTAACCTTGTATAAAGCCCACATGTGCAGCTCCCTGGATAGTAGTCAGGAACTCCAACTGTAAACTTTTCTCCCCACAAGTTTTGGTGGCTCAGTGGTTAGTACTGCTGTCTCACAGTGCCAGGGATCGGAGTTTGATTCCAGCCTTGGGTGACTGTCTGTGTGGAGTTTACATGTTCTTCCCGTGTCTACGTGGGTTTCCAAAGGTACTCTGGGTTTTCTCCCACAGTCCAAAGATATACAGGTTAGATGGATTAGCCTCACTAAATTGCCCTGGAGTGTCCAGAAATGTGCAGGCTAGGTGGGTTAGCCATGGTAAATGCGGGGTTTATGTGGGTAGGATGGGATGCTCTTTGAAGGGTTGGTGCAAAGTCAATGGACCGAATGACCTCTTAGCGCACTGTAGGGATTTTATTTCAAGTCTATTAATACTGGGTCCATTTGAAACCTCCCTACCACAGTCCCAACTGAGATTAACTAAAGCCAGGCAGAATGAGATTCCTATAGGTGATTCCATATCTGAGGCATTGTAGTGAGCTGATGCTATGTTAGACTGCAGTTATACCATGTCCCTTCCACCATGGCAATGCCAAAACTATTTTACTGAGTATGCTAATATTGTTTTAAGCCCAGAAGCGTATATTTCAGCCTATTTTGTTTTTAAAGCAATGCATTTCAACATCATGTTTTTGTTAGGATTCTGGCAATATAAAGTGGATCAAAGATTTGGATTCTCTTATAAAAGAAATTCCTCTAATATCTTTGAGATCAAAGTTGAGCATGTTGCTGTCCAATATCAATGACACCAGACAGATGAAATGGTCTGTGCAACAGGTAACGTTTTCAATTTGGCAATCATCTTTTGAGTAACTTTCTCTGAAGTCCTGTTGTAAAGTATAAATGAGCACCTCTTTCTAGTAGCCCAGCTTGTTACAGCAAGAAGTATTTGGGTTAAGGAGGGGGAAGCGGGACTGGGCTGTTGCTCCTGAGTCCTGTCTAGAAGCTCATACTGGAAGGGTATGGGTGTGCATTCTGGATGCAGACAAACTTCGATTTGGTGGGGAAACCACCTGTTATGGAATAGCTTTTTAGTCTACATTTTCTAGACTCACTCGTGAAAAGTTGCCATTTGAGGGAAATCAAAAGTAGTGACAGGTGTCTTCTGAACTTTGAGTTCAGGAGGGAACAAAGTTTGAGTTTCTTTGTAAATCAAAGCTTAGCTGGTGTTCAAAAGTGTGCATGTAGGAATTAAGAGAAGTTATTGCTGTGTCACTTGATGCTTCAAGAAGTTGTTTTTCCCGTGTTGCAGGCACAGCTACTCTTTAGAAAAGTTTTAGAAGCAAATGGCCACAAAACGACCAAAGAACTTTTCACGTAAGTTGCTCTGTTCTTTTTCCAGCGATGTAATATGCAACATGCTGAGCCATAGAGTTTATTAAAGACCAGATACCATAATAGCATAATATCTGTACCTAGGAATGGTCATTGGGTTATTCTGTTGAACGTATGCCAACTCTGAGTTCTAATTTTTAAAATATGTTCATGGGCTGTGTGCATCATGAGCTGAGCCAGCATCTATTATCCATCTTTAACTGCCATTGAGAAGGTGATGAGGGGCTGTCTTTTTGAAGGGCTGCCATTCTCGGGGTATATATACACCCACAATGCTTTTAGGGATTGAGTTCCAGGATTTTGACCCAGCAACAGTGAAGGAATGGCAATATAGTTCAGAGTCAGGACTTACTTTTGAGTCAGGATGGCTTCTGACTTACTTTTGTAGCCACAGTATTTATATGGCTAGTCCAGTTCAGTTTCTGATCCATGGTAACCCTCAAGGCATTGATCCTGTTGGATTCAGCAATGGTAAGACCATTGAACATCAAGGAGCGATGGTTAGAATTTGTCTTTTTGGAGAGGGTCATTGTCTGACTCTTGTGTAGCACAAATGTTACTTGCTACTTACCAGCTCAAATTTGAATGTTGTCCAGGTCTTGCTGCATTTAGATATACTGCATCAGTGTCTAATTAGTTGTGGATTGTGCTGCACATTGTCCAATCATCTCATTCTTGTACAGTTTTCACTGTGTGCTAAGTCAGCAGTACAGATCTTAGTTTCTTCATCTTCATAGCTTGGGGTAACTGAGGGCAGTTGCAGAATTCTCTCAGCTGCCCTTGGCACAGACCTTGAATCTAGCACCTACCTGATCAGGAGCATTATTTGCACATTAAATCATTACAGAAGCTCTTCAAATAATGGCATATATACATGGGGTTACAAAAAGATACAATTAATATTTGGAGGTTAAATACCACCTTGAAATTTACAGAGATAACAAGGTGTAGAGCTGGATGAACAGCCCTTGGCACAGACCTTGAATCTAGCACCTACCTGATCAGGAGCTTCAATTGACGGTAATGTTCATAA